GTAATGAGGCTTCACAGTCTGAACATGTTCACTGTTTTATTTTGGTTCCCTGTAAAGTTGACGACGATGAAGATGTGGAGCAGAGAAACCTGAACGTGGTCCACATCGTGTTTGGGCTGGTCATGGACGGATGTGTATGTCGATGTGCTTTGTGCTTGTGTGTGAATGTGTGTGTTACCGTGGTAACTGATGCGTGGTGTTCACTGTACTTTGTTGAGCGCATGTTACCTTATTTTCCATCTATACGAGCGTGTTTAGCCTCCCATGGAGCGGCTGGTTGGTAATCTGTCTGACAAAGAGCTCCTCTGTTTGTCAGCGTCTCTGTCTGTTTGTTATGCTGATGATGGGATCCTCCAGTTCAACTGAGGTGGAAATAACCCAACGCAGCTCTCTTCTTTTACTGCTTCAGTCCTCTGAAACATTCACCAGCCGCTCTAATCCCCATCTTTCATTCTCTCTAGACGATGGTTCAGAGGCGAGTTCAGGCCGGGACACCCCCGCCAGCAGCTCGTCCCGCCAGGGAGTCGGTGATCAGACAGAAGAGAAAGCCAAGAAAGACAAGAAAAAGAAAGCAAAAACAAAGAAGAAGGAGAAGAGCAAGGGGAAAGGGAAAGAGAAGAAGAAAGCAGAGGAGCCCGAGGAGACGGAAAAGAAGAGCAAGAAAATCGGCTTCGGCCTGCTGAGGTGAGTGAAGGGCCTTTTCTGTTTCTGGGGCTCGCTTCGCTTTAGTTGTGATGCATTTTCACTCCGGCTGGGTTCTACCATGAGCGCTGTGTACAAATAGATGTGGTGACGTCACCCACTGGTCTGCACTGAGCTGATCTGAATCCCCAGATTGCAGCTTATGTTTGGCCACAGTTCATCTGTTTGGTGCCAGGACCTTCAGAAATAAGGAGTCGGGGGTGTTGCCTTTCACGCTCAGGAGACACGGTCGACTGGCTCGGACCTCAGCTCACTGGAAACACTGACTGGTCCACGCCTCACACGGGCTAGCGCTAGCCGCCTTGACGTTGTGCTAACAGCAGGTATCATAATCAAGCCCCAGCTTTAACCACAAACACATTGGACCAGCACGTCTGGAGAACAAGAATCTGTTGAGAAGCCACAGAAGCTTGTCTCAGCAGCAGCAGTCCAGCAGGTAGAGAGCAACAGGCTGAGCAACTGTTAGTCAGGCTGTCAGCCACACAGCTCATATCAAAGCCCTCTGTAATGTCATTACGGAGCAGTGATTTACCAACGGACCACCAGCACACTGATTAGATTTAGCAGCTGAAACCATCATGACTCTGCACCATGACTGCAGAATGATGGAACAGTATTTCTAAAGAGAAGGTGCTGCTTTCTGGATGTACATTAAAAAGTAAACCAGACGTCGCATTTCTGCTGAGAGTCACAGCTCTGGTCCTGTTTGGTGTCAGCAGGGCCCACCAGAACCAGCCCACCATGGTCTCTGAACCGTTGCTGTAGCTGAGTGACTGAATCTTGTCTCAGCTGAAAACTAAATCTCTCTTTTTAAAGTCTCTCAATGTTCAACTGTCAGTATTTATTTATTATTTTTAGCTTTAACCTACATTTCTGTGACTTTCTAGTTTGTTCTTTTGAATGTCAGTGTTGTTTGTTGTTGTTGTTGTTGTTGTTGTTGCTGTTTGCTGATTGCTGGTAGACGTATTGGAAGTCACTGTGAACCAAACAAACCTTCTCCTCTGCTGCTTCGGCCTGATAGTCGCTGCTCTTTGAGGAACCCTGAACATTAAAAGAGGTTCTTCTCTTCCAGCCCTGAAAACCCAACAGCACCGACAGATTGTGGACCTTTACATCTCTATTACTCACATTTATTTTATATCACACACGGGGACACTGAAGCAGAAGTTACCCATAAAACCTTTGTGAACATGATATCAGGTCACACTTTGTGAGAGGCGGTTCAGTGCTGCTGTGTTTAGTGTCACCGTGGAGTTAGCGTGTGCACATCCGTGTTCAGCAGGCGCACAGGAATCAACACACCTGATGCATTCACACCATATCAGACAAACATGAACCCTGACGTCACATGGTCTCAGGCACACAAAGGCCGCTCTAAGAGGGGCGCAGCGATTTCCTAAAGAGCTGCTGAGAACTGTTTCTGTGTGATTAACTCTAACTCTACGTCTTCTGAGTATTTCAGAGTATTTCAGTGAACACTTTGTACTCTCCACCTTAATGGTGAGCTAATATGACTTCTCTCCACCGTGGCTGTTCAGTGAAGGGGGACTTCACATGACCATTACGTAGATACAGATCTGAAGAAAAACACTCGCCTGCAATTGGATCCAGAAAACACAGCCGTGGCCTTTCACACACACTTACAAACGCAGTCTGTGTGAACCGCAGCACAAAGAAACACTTCCAACGCCTGTTTTATCACAGTGATTACATCTGAAAATTGCGTGTTATTTAAAGTGAAATATGAGGCAATTAGACTAATATGCGCTAATTTTACTTAATTGAAGAGGTTTAATGGTCTTTCTTTGAAGGTCACCACCTTTTTCTTCATCTCTTTTTCAACCCTGTTTTCCTCATTCTCACTTCAGTGTGCTCTCTGTCTCATAGCTGCAGTCGTTGGTCATTCATAAGGATGGTCTGGCGGTGAGCAGGTCTTTGTAGTGAATGGCCGTCTGGACTGATCACGGTGTGTTTATAACAGCAGATGTGAGGACGGTATGCAGTGTGTCCTGGGTTTTCCTTCTACAGACACTTTCTTGTCAGTAGCTATGAATCGACCTGCCTCCGTCTGGGTCGGGTCTTCCTGGAGCGTCAGCCCTTCACCACTTCAGTCCATCGCTGCACAGAACTCGTCTTTCTGTTGCATGAAAAGAAAAGAAATGGAGCATCAGAGGCAGCTGCATTGTGTGAACTAAACAAATCGCTATATTCAGCTTTATGATGCAGTTCAACAAGCCTCAAAGACAACAAGACCTTGGAAATGGAAGAAAGTTCCTGATAATTGAGCAACAAAGGGATGCTTCTACCAGACTGGTTCTGTGTTCCAGCTGCAGACAGATGAGGAAGAGTCTCCTCAGCAGGGTCGGAGGTTATCATAGAACAGGTTTTCTTTTCATCCGAGGAGACCCGTTTTCACATTAGATTTAAATGCAGTGATGTTGTGAGCATCACAAACAAACATGATGGTGCTGAATAATGTTAGTTCTTCAGAATGTCGTGATGTGACTCAGTTCAACAGTAAACCAGCTCAACCTGAGGACAGATGGTCCATGGTTGGACGGTGGTGCTTCAGGATGTTTTAGTCAACGTGTAGCTCTGTATATATGTATTTAGTCAGAGTCTGTAAAAACCTTCTGCAGTGAAAATCAGGTTTTTTCACCCTGTGTCCTCAAGGTGTGTTTAATTTACTAGAAGACATATCATGACTCAGCGTTCCTTCAGACAGCAGACTCAGCGAGCTGTTTACGGGGAGTCTTTAACTTGAGATGTAATGAACACACCACAGAGCATATGTTCTGGTTCTGGTTCTGATTATGTCATTGTGTAACGCAGTCGGAGAGCTCAGCTGATGTTTGTGACGGTGGAGATGCTGTAGAGACGCAGACATCGTCACATGTGTTGTCGGGATTCCACCAATCATTTGTGTGTAATGATTATAAACCAATGTTCAAAACTGGAATGCAGTTCTGACTTTTTAAATGAATTATGATGTCATTTCTATAACCAATCCAATGCACTCACCTTGCTGTAAACTCACAGGTCGCCTCCCTCTCGATCTCCTCTGGTCCTTCCTGCAATCATCTGTTGGTCTTTTCTCTACATAAGCACCAAGTGACACACCTGAGGATGTCTTTCTGTCCATCTGCATCACTCCACCACTTTGTCTTACCGTCTTAGCAATGTTTTAAGTGCTTCAGAGTTCAGGAGAGGTTACAGCTCATACTGTCCCTGTGTGTTCATCCATCTCTACTCCACCTATCCACCACTCTGTGTGATTATGGTCTGGACAGCCTACGCAGCACACATCTCCAGTTTAATCTAACCAAGCCTTCCTCCATCCATCCTTTCATCTACCCACCAGCTCCCCCATCACATCTCGCCATGAGTGCTTGAAGAAACCATATAATAGGCCCAAGGATATTTTTAGAGCTCTCCTCCACACCTCATCACCATGAGAGGGTCTTGATTAGAGACCAGTGATAATCTGAACCTTTCTCTCTTTCTGACCATGTTTCTAGAACACCCCCCTCCTCCACTCCCACTCTTTCCATCCCCACCCCCCTAATCTTTGGATCATTCCAATTTTTCCTCTCCGTCTGCTGCCTCCAGCTCCTGCTCTCTCTCTGCGTTTGATTGCGTGTAATGGTGGTAGACTGAGAAGGCAAATTGGTGCTATTCAGTGAGGCTGAGCTGCTGATTTGTCATATTCATTTAAGGGCACCTTTGATTGGCCTAATGGTCTGGAGGAGAGGTAGTACGGGACACTCAGCCTTCCTCCAAGGTCTCTGGTTGTACAGCGGCACATGTTCATGTTTGTCATTGCTTGCTTCACACGTCTGATGCAGGAGATCTCTTTACCTGCTCTCTTCTTATTATTAGTTCATTCATCTGCACAGACACGCTTGTATTGTTTCTGTTACCTGCTCTGAGCTTCCCACTGCATTTAGGTTCATCATGTGACTGGAGAGAGGGTGTCGCGGGGTAAATAAGCGTGGTAATGTAATTACAGCAGTGTTTCATCGCCATTGTTAACCCAGGCATTAAAGTCAGACTCTGAGTGTTTGGTTCAAATGCCCTTTAAAGTGGACAGCTGGCTCTGTCATCCCAACCGCTGCCACCTGCCAATCACACATGCCAGTCATCTGTGTGTGTGTGTGTGTGTGTGTGTGTGCACCATCATGAATATTCATGTGATGATCAAACCTGATTGGTCACACAGTCAGATGGCCGTCCTACACTTGGCTGCTGGTGACGGAGGCGTCCACACAGCATGTGTGTTGGACGCTCTGCTGCTCTGTGACCCTGTGTTTGTCTGAACTGTGTGTCGTCTTCTTTCTTGCTCTGTCTCTTAACACTGATTTAAATCAATCCAGCCGCCGTCAGTAAGAGTCCACACACCGGTGTCATTTAGATTTATAGGGAGTGTTCATGTGATCAGTAGGTTCCTGTGGATAAAACTACATAAACGAGGGACAACAAGATGGTGAGACAGAGATCTGAACAATACACTGAAACTGCTTCTATGTTGTTTGTATTTGTATTTTTAAACTAAAATGCCGTGTCCACTGTTAAGCCTCACGGCTGTCAGTGATCAGCTCGATAGCTTTACTTCGCTGCTAACAACCTCTCTGTGCGTCTCCACCGCGGCTCTGTTCCCTCCTGTGATGATCTCCAGGTCTGTCAGGTTACAGGCTTCCTTGCCATCACTCTGGTCTTCAGTTCCCTCCACAGATCCTCGTTGGGACTCTGGCTGGGCTGCTCCGACACGTCGAGACTGTTTTCTCTCTTCAGTGTGTTTCAGAATGTGCTTTCTGCTGCTGAGGTTGGGTTTTCTCTCTGATGCTTTGTTCCTCTAGAGTCCTCGTGTAGGTCTTGTTTTCCCACCATGCTGGTCACTCTGACCACCTGGCATGGCAGCTGAACACCACCTACAGTCTTATGTTCCACCACGTTGGGCCGTGAGTACGGTGTTCTTTGAGGCT